TTATTACATGATAGATATATTGGTGTAATTCTTCAGTTATTTCTATATAGTTTGATAAAATGATTTGTTTGGTGGGATTTGCTACTCAATGGAGTTACTTTTTATCTAGTCTGGTTGGTTACAGTATAAGTATACTGTACAATAAAACTAATTGAACAGTATTATGTAATATGTAGGCACCACAGTACATGTTGATGTGAAATTACTCTTTGTAAATCTTGACTTTGTCTACAAGAGATAATCTTTCATTTTATCAGAAAATCAGAAAATCACATAATTACATTTATCTGTATGTAAGTAGCTAACATCCAATTAGCATTGAACTTCAATAACATTTGAGATCTTCTCTACATCAAAAGGGTAAAATCACATGGTATAGTTAGAGGGTAGGATAGCTAGCTTATGTGGATTAGGGTATCGAGTAGTGTGAAAAATGAATGATGTGACAATTTGTGAGATTGACTTGTTAATTTGCTCAACAGTATTAGCACCTTTAATTATCAAAACATCCTTGTCACTATGAAGTAATACAGGAAAAAACATGGTCTCATTATGCTGTATCACTTTGAATGATAAAAGAGTTATCTTAGATAGTCAAAGACAATATTCAGTCAAAACTAGCTATAAGTCAAAACTAGCTATATGCCAAAAACCTAAAAATGAATCCTGGGTAACATCACCTTGTAGAACTTTGGTTTTGGATATATACTGAGACTTAAGGTGTTCAACCAGGCCTTTCTTTAACATACCACCTGACATAAACCCCTATGTTCACATTTTTGAAAAATGTAATATCTGCCTAGAGCAAATAATAGATAGAGATGTAACAAGACTGTTATCTATTGTCTTTGTGCAATGTATTGCACATGAATAAATGGAGTTTTTGTATTAATTTAAACCTCTCCTTATCGAATAAATTGTCAATCAGTCAAAATTATTGTAATCTGGTATGTGTTAAATGAAAAATTTGGTGTAAATATTCTTCACTTTGTTTTAGACAGTAGAATTAGATAGATTGGATTTTTACTTAGTCTTTGCTCCAATATGAGCTACAAGAGCTAAAATCTTACTTTGGGCTTTGGGACACCCTGTATATGACGATGTGTTTGATTGTGCTTCTCTCCTGTTTTGATCCTAGCTTAAAACAGCATCAATAATTTGACAGTTGGAAATACTTTTATGATATATAGAAGATGTCTGATTCGGTCACAATGACCTTGCAACATATCAATTGATTTTAGTAATTCTACATTTACATTCATAAAAGCTGATTTTACAATATTTTAAGTTTTTGTCATATTCTATAAAATATTCATGTTTTGGGTTATGGCAAAATTATCGTTCAATAATATTTCATGATTGTTGCTTATGACTGATGCACATTCAGCCATCAAAGTGTAGTTGTGTCCGCGATTGTACCAGAATAGTGGTTTATCGCCATATCATTTGGTAAAAGCTCCTCTGGATGCTCTCAATTCTCTATATAATTTCTGAATTGTTTAACGAAGACTAATGTTTGTATGTAGAGAAGTGTTGGGAATTGATAGACAGGCTCAATGTATGAAGTTCGATCCTTTCTCCAAGTATATTGATCTGAGTTTTCCGTTAGCTATATTAGAATACACATCTGTGGAAAATTAATCATTTCTTTGCCAGATAGCATCGGTATAAAGTTGTATATTGGTGTGCCTGTATATATTGGTTTATATGGTCAGTGGTCAATAAAATAAAATGTTGGGCCAGAAACCTAGCATATAGCAGATAACTAGCATATATATCTATGGAGAACTAGACTAGCTGCATACATATCTTATAAGGTCAAGAGGACCAGTCAGACATTTAGCATTGTTAATGGTCAAGAGGACCAGCCAAATATGTAGCACATAGTCATTGGTACCAGCCAAATATCTTACTCGCTGTGAGGACTAGCCACAGTGAAATATTCCCACACACCTTTATTGCTGTGAAGGGGGCAATCTAAGGACATTAAGAGATCACCCAAAATATAATATTTTGAAATCTGATATTGTAAAAATATTTTTTTTGCTTTTTTCAAATATGACCTAAATCTGACCTTATTAATATCAAAAATGTTCATAGTGTATGAAAGATAAATAATCTCTTTTATCTGCAATTTCTGTACTGTTTTTATTAATATTATTCTGACATTATCATGTTTGGTTTTACTTTATCTATCATGATTCTAATATCATCTGTCTTGTTCATTTGAATCATTTAGATTTGCTTGAAAGTTTGGTGTTTTAATTCTGTTTGTTTAAATTGAGTGTGTCATATAAAACAAGTATGTTTCTGCTACAAATGGAGATGTTCATTGTTTGAAACCTGGAGTTATTACAATATACTGTAGATTTTCTGATTGCTCAATCTATTAAAGAAGTAGGAGTGAAAGATATAAGTAAAAGTTGTCCTTGATAAATAATTGATTTTCCCCTATGAACCCTGCGTGGAGAGCAGTGTTTAAATCATTAATGGCTCAACGTTATTGAAAAGAGAACAGGGCTTTGCCATACATGCTTGTAAGTACTGTTAAGATGCTAATGTGATGTTTCCAGTGTTTCCAAGCTTCATAATTCATTAAAATTAGACCATGGAGGTTCTATTGACTTGTCAGAGTTGCTTATGATAACAACCTAGAAATGACATTTGGTGTTTCCTTATTTTCTGAATAATTTTGCCTGTTATTGTTTGCATAGCCTCACACAACCCCTCTCCTATTCTGTGGTTGCCAGACAAGTCCCACAGTACATTTTGGAATTTGTTCCAACTGTTACTCTTCTCCAAGTAGAGGTATTTTGTCATGTTTATAAAAAGTGGTTGACTCAAAACATTTTGCACTGAGGTATACATAACCCATTTCATCAAGTGCTAGACCCTCACTCACCAAGTTGATGATGAATAATGAACACCATCTATTTTTCACCCAACCTGGTGTTTTTGTACATAACCATGCTCTGTTTTGATTAGGTGTAATTGTATATAACGGTGTTCTGTTTTGATGTATTATTATATATTTACATAGCTAAGCTCAATTCGATTTGGTGTTATTGTATATAACCATAACCACATGTTTTGTTTTTAGATAGTATTGTACATAACCATGCTTTGGTTTGATAACGTATTACTATCCCACCAAACAAAGTTCTTTTGTCCGGTAGACAGATTTGGTTTAAACTTGATAGGTGTTGGGCCTCTGCTCGAGAAGGAATTTTCAGTATGGCCGCTCAATTCAAAATGGCCACCATATTTCATGAAAAATTTAATCTTTGATAACTCAAATACGAGTTGATGGATTTGGTTCAAAATTTATATGCTGATGTCAAAGGACAAAGGAGCTTTGCTGAAGAAGAGATTTTTTGAGATGGCTGCTGATGGCCAGTTTTCGTAAAAAATGTATTCTTTGATAACTTAAGTACCAGTTGATGGAGTTGGTTCAAATTTTATATGCTGATACCTAGGGACACATGAGCTCTGGTCAAGAAAGTATATTCAAGATGGCAGCTGAATTTTAAAATGATCTCCATTCTTCGTAACAGAAATAGAAATAACCATTAAAACAAAAAAAATAGCAAAGTCACATGGAAATAACCTAATGCAGATCTACCATGACTGGTTTAGCTATACATATTCTTACAAATATTATTGATGAGAAAATCAGATGATATGCCATATGGGCTTAGCTTTAGGATGGTTGTTATCCATTAAAATTAGACCAGAACTAATTCAGTATACCACCTGCCAGGATAAATGTAGAATGTATTAAATTGAATAAAATTCTATAAACATTAATGAATAATGGCCTAATTTATTTTTAATAAAAACAATAATATGGATATTGAATCATCAATAGTTCCCATGTCGGGCATCAAAATTCCCATGGCATACCATATAATAATTTGAAAATTCCCATGACACACCACAAAATAATTTCTGAAGTTAAGCCACTCTCTTGATACCTCACAATAATTTGTATAGTTTAGATCATCCCTCCGCAACAATATTTGCTATACCAAGTGGTCTTAGCTGATTTAAATAGCCTTTTAGAAACATTTAAAATAAATTGTGGCAGTCAAAATTATGAGTAATCATCTTTGTGTTACATCCTGAAGCTTATGAAATTAAAGATTTGGATGATATGGGTGCATGAACTTTCCTTGAACATCTGTATGCAGGAAAACTATATCCAAATGCCTTTCTGAACAACCCTCAATATGAACATATTTTTATGTCACTACCAGAAATGGTGACATATTGTTATAGTCTCCAACTTTTTTGTAGACGGTATTCGGTGGTTGGCATTTGTAAAAAATGGCAGGTGGTGACATTTTGCATGTTAATGCCTTATTTGGTCCTAATTTTTCATTCAGTTTATGTTACAATGCCTTCAAATATCAGCACCTGTCAATCTGAACATTTTTGGCTGCAAGTAGCATTCAGGATTGACAGGTTTTACTGTATACACTTCTGGTATATAGTGTTATTAAAATGAAACATGCTTAAATGATGATGATGATTCAGATTGAATACATGGTAATTTTACGAGGCGGGTGTATGACTATGTATAAAATACAAGAAAAAACATATTCTATTTGCTTACTCCATGTATTAAAAGTTCATTTCACTCTGTAACTTCTGTTCTACTATTATCGCACTTTGAAAAAGTTCTATATTGTTGTCTGATTGTGCTGATGGGCATGTGTGTCTTTGAGGATGGGTGCCACATAAATCATGTCATAAAAACTCCAGGAAAACCGCTTATCCATTCAACTTGAAATTTTAACAAATGCAAGCAGACAAATGCCTAGATCTGATTAGGGTTTTGGGTATGCTTGGTAAATTACATGGAGACCATTCTGCTCTTCAAAGTGCGATATTTATTACTGTATATCTTGTTTCAATCTTGTTTCAATTCTTCACTTTCTCTCTATACATATTCTATATTCTTGAGACCTATTTAACCTGATCTATTTGTTTGGTTCCAGGCTGTAACCTATACCACTCGTGAAATACCTGGAACAACAGTAAGTCAACTAGCACCACCACTGAGCAATTTTAACAGCTATTTTAAAAATTAGCATTAGAACAATCAGTTGATTTGATTTAAATTCAGCTTGTAGAATGCATTTTGAAATATTGGTGCTGGATGTTTATGTGTTATTAAGATGACTGAATGAATAGTTGTGCATCTCGCTTTAAGTAAAATTACAAATATCCAGTGTCATGAAGCACACCCCTAGGACTTCAACGAGATATTGATCTCTTATCTATCATTGGTTAGTGGGACACTAAATTTCCCATGATGCTGCATCTTAATGGCTGACCTTTGCCAAAGTAACTTAGTATAAAATGTGCTCATGGAGCAATAGGGTTTTCATAATGGTTTCTTGTTATAAGATGTACATTCTGGTTGAATATTCAATACCACTGATCAAAATAACTTCACTAAATTTTGGACCTGAGGTTCGAAAATTGTTAATAAAACTGAATTTATTCTGAACGCTTAGATCCTTGCAGAATCTTTCAATCATCTTTTTTGGGGTTTATCTGCTTTATAGTTAGTAAATGTATAGTTATATAAGATGTGGTAGTTAGTGTATATGGTTTGAGGGTTTTAAATCTTTAAGAAATGGAATGAGAAAATCCCAAAATGTTGCACAAAAAATTATAAAAAACTAAAATGTTACACAAAAGTTACAAAATTCTAAAATGTCGCACTAAAGAAATAGCTACAACCATGTTCTGTATTTAGTGGTTTATCCTTATGTTAAACCAAGTTAGAGGAAGAAACCCAGATCTTTTTCACCTAGAAATAGTCACACCATGATTGTTTTTTATTATGTTTTTTATTGATGTAGTATTTGATCACATTTTAGTTATCATTTGTAGCTTATTTAGTTTTGTGTAATTGTGTCTGTTAAGTTAATTTTATAACAACCCTTAATTCCAGTTCAATATTCATTAGGTAAATATATTTTGTTCGTGCTCATTGCACCAATTTCCAATCTACAGTATGAAAAATATGTGATATTGCAGTTTTACAGAACTTTGAATATTAATGTTTGTGCCTATCAAGTCCAGTCCTCGATTTTCCTCTATTTTTCATGAAATTTCTCATAAAGGAATCATACTCTAGTGCGACTTGATGACAATTATATCAACCCACATAGAGCGCAATATAGCAAATGTGTGATAAATAGGATTACATGTATATCTACTGGTATACATTTGGATTTCATCATTCAGCTAATTTTGATATTATCCTGGTATAATTATATTATCCTATACAAAACTAATTTATTACTGAACACTCCATCAAAATATTTAACTTACATAAACTCATTTCACATTTGAAGAATTAGGTTGCATATGATTGTAATTATACATTGTTATACAAGGGGTGTTCCATACATTCTGATAAATTTAATACATATTCATAGTATAAAATTGTTCTTCCCTGAATATGCCCCAGGTGGCGGATGAGGCCATATACATGTTTTATCACACAAGTTTGTATATAGTTTTCCCTAAATTAGGCCATATATTTGTTTTCCTAAATGAGGCTGTATTGGTTCTATTTCTCAATGTCTCTTTGTATAAGGCTGTGAAACAATAAAATATCCATCTTTCTGCACTGAATTGTAAAATCATTGCTATTGCCCATAATATATAATGCAATCCCAATCGTAATAAAATGCTACTATGGCCATATGCCATATTTATGACTGTAAACATTTTAACATGGACTCTCCCACTCATTGGAGGAGTAAGTTTTGATGAACAAAATCAATATTTTGGAACGCAGTATATCACCAGTATTCACCTTTAAAGTCCTCATCATTATTCTTGAACTCTGTATATTTGTTGTTATGTCATCTTATCGAGGCACAGATATATTTTAAGATATAGATAAAGCTAAAGCTCAAAGCATCACTCTGTTTCCTGTATTGGCGAATAGCAGCGTCCCAAGGGCCTGCTAAACTGTTCTGTCGCAACCATTGATCCTGCTGCCGTTGCTCCAAATGTTGACTCATCTAGTGCAGTCTCCCAATTACATCTTGTTTCAGTTGAAACACTGCACTGAAGAAATATATCCTTGATGATTAGTCATTTCATGTTTCACTTATTTAGCTAAATGTCTATGTTGTTGATAGTTTTTTGTTGATTATTTTTAAAACACATTTTCAATAGTTTTGTAGTGGATTAGTCTATTATAGATGCAGTAATTGATTGTGTATGCCCCCCTGTGTAATATATGCAGGATATAAATATATACATATATAAAGCATAAACCCTTGTATAAATGAACAGTAATATTAATAATTGATTTATATAAGATAATGTGACCTGAAATTGCTTTAGGTTTTTCTGAATGGAACATTTATTCATTGGCAAGACTAGGAAATTAGATTATGCTTTTGGTTATATCAATATTCCAATGTAAATTAAATATACTGTCAAATAAAATCCAATGTCCATGCAGGAAGATGCATCTCACTGTTCTTGTGACTGTTTCAGATTGTGTGGGCCTGTAACTTATGCCGCAAGAAACAAGAACTGCTTATTAAGACCGGCCAGTGGTACCATGGGGGCCAGGCCAAGCCAGTAAACATGGATAATTTAGACAAAGTTGGGTCAGGATCGGATACAATGTCTGTCACTTCTACCCACTCTCAGCAGACTTCCCCAACATCATCTGACAGCCGCATGCCCCAGAATGGTGGGGGTGAGGGCTCAATGGGGAAGCTGTATGGGAACTTAACAGATAGTGGGGCGAGTAGTGAGAAAGAAAATATGGGCCATAATAGGCAAGATCATAGGAGGGAGCCCCACACAGGAAGTGTTCATGGCAAAGAATTTAAGCGCCAGTATTCTTTAAGTGAAATGAGTGCCCAAAATGAAAGAACTTCAGATCCTAGGAATTTAGACCATGATCATGACAGGGGAAGACCCCCAGATAGAGGAATACGTGATAGGAAATCACCATCAGAGCCTAGGAGGCGCGATATACCGATAGGTGCCCATGGGCGGGGTGACCGTGACAGGTCATCAACCCGCTATGATGCCCCTCCCTATGATAGTGAACAATACCCAGACCAAAGATACCATGACCCCAGTGATCCAAGATCAAGAGACTCTTCAAGGTCACATGACATGTCACATGATCGTCATCACCATGGTGACCCAAGATATGGTGGAGACGGTAGTGAAAGAGATGAAAGAAGACACGATGACCCTAGGTATCGAGATAACAGAGAAGATAGGCAGTCAGATAGATACAGAGAACGAGAAGCTGAAATAGATAGAAGATATAGGTATGAAATTCTCATAAATCAATGTTTTATCAATTGTAGAGCTGCAATTTTGTTTGAAAAATAGATTTAAAAAACTCTATCTAAGAAAATGTGAATGCTATATATTTATGAATATATGTCTGATAAGTGTATTGACTGATTTCAGGGAAGATAGGCCATTGGATAGAAGGAGAGAAGGTCACAGCTCTCAGGAGCGATTATTTGAGGAATCAGATGGACGTAGGAGCAGGGATAGCTCTGTACGTCGTCGTGCAGGAAGGGACCCTGACCGCCCTCAGGAAAATAAAGAGGGTGATATTTATAAAAGAGGTCATTATAGGGAACCTGGCAATGTGGAATCTCACAGGCCACCAAATGGTGAAAGGGGTGGAGTTGGGGAAAAACCTAGTGGATACAATACGAGACATGTCACCTCAAAGCCTCCCTTATCACCTAAAAATCAAAAAATTAAAGATGCTGAAGATCACCGGATGGAAACAAGGGATAATTTAGGAGATTTAGATAGTGTACCTGATTCAGTACGTAGACAACACTTAGACCCTAGTTCTGCAGTGAATCCTTCAAATGCTACGAAAACACGTCGTAAAGTGGATATGCTGAGGAATGATTCCCTCAGTTCTGATCCATCTGACTGTGTTAGACCCCCTCCCCCTAAACCACATAAACATAAAAAAGGCAAAACTAAGTTACGCCAGTTGAGTTTTAGTAGTTCAGAAGATGAGATCCAATCTACTCCTGATTGCACTAGTTGTGAAGACCAAGAAATTGAGAGTGAGAGTGTCAGTGAAAAAGGTAGGTATTGAAAAATTCTCTCACGGTACACATTTTAAATAAAAACAAAGATTAAAAAATGAAATATTTTGATTTGAAGTTTAAATACTTAAAGACAGCTAACTGTATTATATATGGTTAATTATGTTTATACAACTTCATATATTCATGACTACATTCAAATGTGAAGGATTTTATGAATATGATGATCACAGTGTATAGGGTAACTATAACGATAACATACCTCTCTCCACCTTCTTGAAAAATTCGTTAAATGTAGTGATAACAATAGTTATCGTCATTCATACCCCACTGTGAATATATTTACATATGTCATTTGCTTCTTTGTAATGTTATACTGTGTCTCTAGACATCTATAACCAAGGCCGATCACCTCATGCAGACATTACATGCGGACAGAATTGGAAAAAGGATGAGATTTTAGCAGCTAAAATTAAGAAATTTTTAGCGGTGGGTAAAGAGTTCATTGAAGTGTGAAGTTTATTCCTTTCACTGATAGCACACTTCAACCAGCCAAAATATATACATACTCATGTCTCTAATACAAGAAATTAAGATGGGAAAATTTGCTCAGAAAAAAAAGTGAACAAGTATGTTGATAACAGCATTAAAACTGCATTGAAAGCATACTTTTTTATTACTATATCTTCTGATGCCAGAAGTTATATTCATTTGTTCATTTTTGAGTTCATGTTTTTGAGATACAATTTGAATCTTGGCAAAGAAAAGGCAGGCTTGTTCATTGAATGCCCAGTTGAAGTGTATTTCAGTGAGATGAATAACCTTATAGATAATATCTATATGTATGTATTCTACAAATAGGAAAACAATCAATTCAACAAATCATGCATTGCCTGTAGGCCAGTGTAGGGTGTCCAAAATCTATAGCACGTTCTCAATGTTTAATGAATACCCTGTATGATGCTGAAGAGATGTGATTGTTTTCCTATTCAGAGAGTGCACCCTAAGTTTCTAGTCTCTTTGCTACCTGCTTCATGTATAGTTAATAGATATTGTCTTGTCTGGTGGGGATTTAGAAACAGGTAACTGTTTCTAGATTCTGACCACTTGATTAGCTAACCAAAGCAGGATGAATCATGCACAAAGCATTGCATTAGAAATCTAGAAACTTCAGGGGAGTCTTGATGTACTTCTATTCATTCTGACTTGTGTTAACTATGATAGTGTTATTTCATCTTTTTAGGGGAGCTAGAAACTGGAACAACTGAAAACAATCAATTGTCTGAAGCTAAACGAAAAATGGTTCGGTTCGGTTGCGGGGAGGGTCGCTCAATGGAAGAAGATACCGGCTGGTCCGAACCAACAGTCAAAGATTCAGGCATTGACACAGGGTTGTCAAGTAGCAACCAAACTCTGAATGATGATTGGTTGAAGGTAACTCTTGGCGTGACGTGGATGTTCAATGAACAATTCTACTGGCACTTCGTAAACTTCGTAATAGTTGTTACAGTTTCTACATCCCCGTATACTTCCTTCTCTGTGGCTCCTCAAACACTAAAATAAGTCTCAACTTCAAATCCTCCATTTTATTTGATTTCACAGAAACAAATATTCATTTGAAGTTTGTGGTTGATTTCAGTTGAATTTTCTCTTATATATTTATTTTGCTCTTTTTTATGATCATATATTTTTCTTCTCATAATCTTTCATGGTGATTGTATTCTCTTTCTTATTTTGTTATGTTTATATCTTTTTGTGTTATTATCAATGGCTGAATGGCTTTTGGGTTTTTAACCATTACATGTATTTATCGTATATATCGTTTGTTATTCATTGATTTGACTCAAATACAGTAACTACTCTGTCTGCAAAAGGTACTTTGGGAAACACATCCTTTTTATTATGCTTACTATTTTCTATATTTCTATAAGTTATTATTGAATTACACTCTTAGTCAGTAATATTGGGAATATATCACTCCACGTAGAGCGCATGGAATTGACCTTCAGTTGGGGAATTGCAGAATCTTAAATTCTGATCAATTGCCACAGAATTTCACATGGAATTAACATATTTTCTGAAAGTATGAATAATCAGCATAATTCCTCTTTTTCCATTACCTCAAAATGTTAATATTTCTGCAGTCCAATTCCTGGTAGAAATCATTCCAAATAGAAAAAAATGTAAAATGCAAAATAATTTGAATTTGTGGTATTATTTCATATCACCCTAGATGGCAGTTCAGTTTATTCAAAATTATAGTTTTTCTATTCATCAGATCTAATCAGAAATGAATTCGAAAACTAAAGAAAGGTTATTTTAATTTGTTGATAGAAAACTTAAACATAAGAGCATATGATTAGACATCAGATTAAGACATTTAGAATTAATGGTATATGATTCTGAGATCAAGGGAGCATGACCTACTTTCCGAGAGTTCGAAAATAAAATTTGAAAAATGATAATGGATCGTTTTGTCAGCAAAAAGTGACTCAACCCAAATATGTTAGCCAAGGATATTAATATCTGTCTTGAAGTTTCATAAGAAATGTCAAGAAATCCCGCAGAATTGGCCCATGCTGAATTCACTAATTTCACTTGCAGAATTCAGTATTTCAACTTGCAGAAAACAAGGGGGAGTGATATATAGTGTTTTAATGAAGTCAAAATGTAAAACAAATATCTATGTCACATGGGACAATCAGATTGTTGCCAATTTCTATCATTAAATAAATTTTGCTATTTCATTATATAGCAACTTTCTGGCTTTACATGTCAACAATGTATGTCAACATTTACGCCATCAGAATCTATTTTCTGTATACAGTCAAAGTGTTTAGCATTTTGCATCATTTGTTCATATGATTTTTTCTGTTCAGTCCCTGGCTTGTTAAGTAATCCAAAATTATGGAATTGTGCTATGTCCATTTCGCATTTCCAGCATTGAGACACTTTGATGCATGAATGGTTACAGACAGTATTACAATAACTTAGGCTATTATGTTTTGAACTTTTTTATTTGACTAACTTCAATTTATAATTATCTCACACATATTACCTTCTGATATGGTAGAATAAAATCTTAATAGAAAATTAGCACTTATGTTTTTTCACAGTTTTCTTTGATTTTGTTTTAAGTTTTTGTTTCGTTAATCATAACTGCATTTTGATATCATTTATTAAAATGGTATTGTTGTTTTCAGCACCCTGTTACCTGGCAACCAAGTGCAGATGGAACAAAATTAATAGGTCACATGATACTTAAAAAGGGAATCCCGGATGCAAAAGACCCATCTGTTGCAAACAGAGGTGGTACTCTAGGTAGGTTATATTTTATGTGACTCGCATGTATGAAATATTATTAATATATGTATTTGATTGAGCTACAGCTATTTTACCAAGTGGTTCTCATTTTTGGGCAAACTCAAAAGTTTCAGCATGTATGTACATATGTGGTGGTTTTGAAGCACTTCACACCGTAATAAATTTGCCTGGAATGTTTCTACATTATAATTAAACCGTATTGTTCTTTTGCTCACATATTCTAAAAAACATTTATTTTACTTTTTATATCGTCATTTGACATGTTCTGATTTTCACATTTGATTCTATACCAACTTGGTAACTTTAAATGGGAGTCATTTACACCATGGTTAAAACATATATGATGATAGTATTTGAGATGTCCCATGAAAATGGATACCACTTGATGTATATATATATAAATGGTTGATTTGATTGTTCGTTGATGTTTTGCATTCTCCTCCGACAGGTGTGTATGTAACTCCCTTGCCTTTACTATCTGCTGTGTCGGTTAAGTAGATACAGCTAAACCTGTGTATATAGGAACATAGTGGATTATCTCATGAATATCTATCATAAAATGTTCTGTGTCTATAATGTCAGATGAATTTCTTTGAATGATGAGTTTTTTGTTTGTTCATTTTAGTAATATGTTCAAACATAGATTCACACTCACAGGTTTTACTGTAGTTCCAATTCCATGTCGCAATTCCCTGTTGAGCATTAGTGCTTGGTATGAACTTGCAACCAGATAAAACATTGCCTCAAAATCATACAGACAATTGATCCTGCGATTGATTATTTTGACCTCTTCATATAGGAGATCAAGTTATTTTCTGCAGGAGGCCAACTCATTTTGTGGTTCATTTGAGCTTGATAGTAGTACTTGGAAGAAGCATTTTATCCTCATCGACATTGACTCGATTGTCTATGTGAAAAGTTTGATAGTCTACTTTGAATTGCTTTCAGTCCAATCATATTCATTATGGATATTTCATGTACAGATTACTATTTGTACTGCCTTGTACTCTGAACAGTGTTGTTTCTTGTTATTATTTTATATATAGTAGATGAACTGTTTTTGTATTACTCTAAGAGCGAGGAGGAAAATTCTTAATAAATGGAGTATAGTTGGTTTGGCAGCATTTTCAGTTAGAGGGAAGTCTTGGATGAAAATTCTACCTAGGTGATAGCTTCACAGAGTGGTACATAATTCTTTTTTTTCAGGGTTTAGCCCTCAACCCCCCAAAAACACCCCACCCCTGGAAAATAATTTTTTCATTCTCAATAATTTTAGATATCTTGATGTTTGTAAGTTACATACATAGACATTATATATATGAATCATTTGTAAAATAAATAATGCCAATCACTCCTACAGAATTTGGAAAATACTACAAAGTATGTACCCCAGGGGGCAAATTCGTGACCCATTTTCTTATTTTTTAGAGCCTCACTTTTCAATCAGACACTGAAAGACATTGAAAAATTTCATGTGAAGTGCCCAGTAGCAGGGCTATAAGCCCTGAAAGGTTCAAACTAATTGAATTAGTAGGAGCCGAGAAAAAAATTGTTGATTTTTTGAAAAATTTGACATTTTTGAGAGGGGTGATTTTGTGTATGACTATAGCTGATGCCTATGGTTTCCAGATCTATCCCTCTTTGATGATAAATATGGTTTTGAAGTATGGAACTAAGATGTAAAAAATAATTAAAATTGGTTTTAAGGAAGTTTCATGTTTTAAACAAGTTCAAAATTCCAAGAATTGTACAATACCAGGTCTGAATTTACAAATTTTAGGTAAGACCTTAGATGAGCCTTAGATTTTTTACATCTGTCCCCCTTTGATGATATTCATGGTTTTGTAGTATGGAACTAAGATGTACAAAATAATTTAGATGGGTTTTAAGAAGGTTTAGGAATTTTAACAAGTTCAAAATTTGAAGAATTGTACAATATCAGGTCTGAATTTACGAATTTCAGGTAAGACCTTGGATGAGCCTTATATTTTTTATATTTGTCCCTCTTTGATGATATGTATGGTTTTGTAGTGTGAAACTAATTAGTAATAAAAAATAATTAAGATGAATTTGAAGAAAGTTTAAGGATTTTAAATGAGTCCAAAATTTGAAGAATTGTACAATATCATGTCTGAATTTATGAATTTCAGGTATGACCTTGGATGACCCTTATGTCTTTTAAATCCTTCCCTCTTTGATGGTATTTATGGGTTTATAGTGTGGAACTAAGATGTAAAATATAATTTAGATGAATTCTAAGAAGGTTTAAGGATTTTTAACAAGTTCAAAATTTGAAGAATTGTACAATATCAGGTCTGAATTTATGAATTTCAGGTAAGACCTTGGATGGCTCTTATGTTTTTACATCTGTCACTCTTTGATGATATGTATTGTTTTGTAGTGTGGAACTAAGATGTAAAAAATGGTTTAGATGGTTTTGAAGAGTGTTTACGGATTGCAATGAGTCCAAAATTTGAAGAATTGTACAATATCAGGTCTGAATTCTCCAATATCAGGTATGACATTGGACGACCCTTTTGTTGATATTTATGGTTTTATAGTGTGAAACTTAGATGTAAAATATAATTTAGATGAATTTAAAGAGATTTAAGGATTTTAACAAGTTCCAAATTTGAAAAATTTTACAATATCAGGTCTGAATTTACAAATTTCAGGTAAGACCTTGGATGGCTCTTATGTTTTACATCTGTCAATCTTTGATGATATGTATTGTTTTGTAATGTGGAACTAAGATGTTAAAAATGATTCAGATGGTTTTGAAGAGTGTTAAGGGATTTTAATGAGTCCAAAATTTAAAGAATTATACAATATCAGGTCTGAATTTTCGAATTATAGGTATGACCTTGGACGACTCTTTTATTTTTTACATCTGTCCCTCTTTAATGACAGTTATAGTTTTACGGTATGGACCTAAGATGTAAAATATAATTTAGATGGATTCTAAGAAGGTTTAAGGATTCTAACAAGTTCAAAATTTGAAGAATTGTACAATATCAGGTCTGAATTTGCAAATTTTAGATAAGACCTTGGATGAGCCTTATATTTTTTTACACCTATCCCTCTTTGATGATATGTATGGTTTTGTAGTGTGGAACTAAGATGTAGAAAATAATTTAGATGCATTTTAAGAAGGTTTAAGATTTTTAATTTGAAGAATTGTTCAATATCAGGTCTGCAATGAATGAATTTCAGGTATAACCTTGTTTAGCCCATATGATTTTAACACCTATACCCTTTTCATGATTTGGTTTAGTTGTGTGGAAATATGTATAATTTACATCGATTTTAAAGAAGCTTAACATTTTAAACAAGTTCAAAATCTTGGCGTATTGTACAATATCAGATCTGAAATTAAAGAATTTCAAGTATAATCTTGGTTAGCCCATATGATTTTAACACCTATCCCCTTTTCATGATATATTTGGTTTAGTTGTGTGGAAATATGTATAATTTAAATCGATTTTAAAGAAGCTTAACATTTTAAACAAGTTCAAAATCTTGGCGTATTGTACAATATCAGATCTGAAATTAATGAATTTAAAGTATAACCTTGCTTGGCCCTTATATTTTTAACATCTATCCTTTTTTGATGATATATGATTTAGTAGTGTGGAGCTCATAAACATAATCAAGATGGGTTTTAAAGAAGTTTAAGGTTTTAAATAAGTTCAAATTTTCACAAATTGTACAAAATCAGAGCTGATATTAATGAATTTTAGGTATTATGTTTTTTACATTTATCCCTTTTTGATGTCATATATGCTTAAGTAGTCTCTAGTTGAAAGCCCATGGTTGAACTAAGATGTAAAACAAAATTTAGACAGGTTTTAAAGAAGTTTAAGGTTTTAAACAAGTTCAAATTTTGACGAATTGTACAATATCAGAGCTGATATTAAACAAATACTGGATGATCAGGAGCTGGATATGGCCAGAATACCTATCCTCGAAAAAATATTGGGCTCGGCGGTGTTCCGCCAGTTTCAGATGTAAGCTTTAAGTATTACTCCAGTTATTAAGAAATAAAACTCTGAAGTGGGAATGTTGCAAAAACATTGAAAAAAATATCCGACTCTTTTTCTCGAAAGGGTCAGATATTAAAAAAATATCCGGCAGTTTTCAGAAAAGAGCAGAGTATTGCCAAATTACAAGCAACTAAGAACCAATCAGATTTGAGTATTTTAATGAGGTGCATAATAATAATGAATATTGGGTATTTAGGTGAGCCTTATTTTTTTACATCTATCCCTTTTTGATGACATATATGCTTTAGTAGTGTTGAACTAAGATGTTAAACAAAATTTAGACAGGTTTTAAAGAAGCTTAAGGTTTAAACAATATAAAAAATTGAAGCATTGTATAATAACAGGTCTGGAATTTATTAATTTTAGGTATAACTGTGAATGGCCCTTATTCTTTTTTTACATATATCTCTCTATGATAACATATATGGTTTTGTAGTATGAAACTAAGATGTAAAACATAATTTAGATGGGTTTTAAGGAGGTTCAAGGTTTTAAACCTGTTCAAAACTTGACAAATTGTACAATATCATATCTTCTGACATTAACGAATTTCAGGTATGTATCTCTCTATGATGATATATATGGTTTAGTAGTATGGAACTTAGATGTAAAACATAATTCAAATGGGTTTTAAGGAAGTTTAAAGGCAGAATCAGATCTATGGGTGTGACAAAATTACAAGCAACGTGTACAGTTCATGTACCAATCTATTCCTTACAATCTCAAATACAATATCTCCAAAAAGATTCACAATGTGTTAAGTCTGTAAGTTTAAAGGCAGAATCAGATCTATGGGTGTGACAAAATTACAAGCAACATGTACAATTCATGTACCAATCTATTCCTTACAATCTCAAATACAATATCTCCAAGAAGATTCACGATGTGTTAAAAATTGATGAAGTAATAATGGATTCAAAAAGCAAAAATGGGTGAAAAATGTTTAAATTCTCC